GCAACTGAATTAAGTTCCACGATGGTCGGAATTACCATTCCACGTTCTACTTTCGACACGATCTTCATAATTTCCGATTGGACCCTGGTCACGATTATGTCTACAAAGCAGAATATCGGGGATGATGTTTATAATCCTTTAAAGCGCGGACAGCATCGAAAATTCGCACCAGGATTGGCGAAAATTAAGTCCTCCGCATTCACAATTTAAATGTGCTTATAGAAAATCTTTATAACAGCTTATTAATATTTACTGAAGAATATGAATTAAATTAATATTTACATAATAATTATGTAACGAAAATCTTGTATTATGTCCCATTAAGAGCGCCTGATTTAAATTTGGCACCATTTTTTTTTAATAACATTGGCATTATCTTCTGATAATCTTCCGTAAATATTGAATCTCAATTTAAAATAGGTAAAGTTTTGCAGCTCACAAACTTCGTGAATTTTTTTGTCGAATTGATGATCTAAAACCTCAATTCGACGATTAATTTAAATAATTGAGAAAACTGGTCCGATTCTGAACAGAAAGCTCTAGTAGTGGTCATTCATTTGATAACATTTTATAATACAAATTAGGCGACGTAACAAAAATGAACAGGACAAAATCGCGCAGTAAAACAACCATGTCTAATGTACGAGAATATGTATTAAAAAAAAAAACAAACCCTACCCAACTGTTAGTAACCTAAGGTACTAGAGTGTATATGGAAATAGAATAATAATAATAATTTTTATTAGTCACAATTGTAACCAAAGGGCTATCGACCTAAGTCCATTAGAACATAAGCATGATGTCCCGAAAAGCAGATGTGTGTTTCAACATTAAAGTTGTCAATAAATCGACTTCTTAAGCGCTGCAGAAACTCTGAGCGATTCTCTGCATTTTTTGGCGAGTTTATTTTGTTCATATAAATGTAAACTATGTGGCCTGTGAATTATATTGTTATAAAGGTCTTTAGACAGATCACACGTCTTTTTATTAAGTAACTTTACTTTGATGTTAGGTATACCCGGTATGGGTTTTGTTGACCTCTTCGGACATTTGGAAGCAATCCTCGGAGTTGCATGCCATACATCCGGGGGGATGGAAATAGATATTTGTGCAATGATTTAAATTTATTATTTTTAAAATATATCCAAAACCAAACTCCCCGAATCTAATGCAATAAATTGAATGCAGTACTTGGATTTGACGTAGTTGTTTTACTGTGCGCTTTTGTCTTACGCGCTTATGTAGTGCGATTTTGTACTGCGCGCTATTATTTGTTTGAATTAGACGTTTGAAGCAAAATCAACATACTATAGCTAACAACAAATTAAGTATTATCATTTTTCGGCAAAATGATGTATTTAATAAAAAAAAATAAAGAATCATGCTATGACTAAAAATTAATTTAACTAACATACTTTTTGGGTCATTGATTCCAATTGTATTAAATAAATTTTCAGTATTTAATATTAGAGTACATAACTAGTTTGGAAAGTTTATTTTAAACTTGATTATTGCAAAAAAAAAGTTCATAACTGTAATAAAAATGTTGCTTTTTTACAACAGCAAATTCGATTGTCCTTCAGTTTTCATATCAGTTTATATTTGAAATCCAATTTAAATTTGTTCGTGCGTTCTGGTATGTAGACCACTATATTCGAACTTATTTTTTATTTGCTGAAAATTGCTGTTGCATTGGAGCACTGTTTTCAGCATAAATGACCTCTCAATTTTATTACAAATTTATCAATTCTAATGACATGAATTGTTAGTTGTTCTGCGTTTATAATTAATATAGTTCGTAAATATTTAACTGCAGGAAAAATATAATAAAAAATGAATTCTGTGATTTATATTTATTATTGTTATTATTAATTAAAATTGAAGAGAAATTAATGTACTTTATAAAATAACTCGCATAGTTTGCCTTCGATCACTCACTAAATTATTATAAATGACCGTTTTTTTTAGTTAATGCAGACAAATTCTTCGAGAACTTTAAGATTAGTCAGGTTTCAAAAAGTCCCGAATAATTGAAGAACCAGGACTATGGTACTGTTATACTTATGAGAATAATTGTAAAAATACAATATTTATAATATAAAGGCAAAAATACTATAGAGATTCAATGACTTATGTTTGTTACTTTTGTATATGTAATTATTTGCATGTGTATCCTAGTAAAATTGATAATATTCTAAATAAATTATATGTTATGAATGTCTAATGTGATTGGTAAGATCGATCATAAATTTTTGGTAGTAACATAAATAATACAGTCGACGATTGTAAAATTGAAAAATAAAATCATTTGTCAACGACATTGCAAAAATATTTATTGGACAGATCGCTTTTTTTTACTACTACTTCCTCATCCTTTTTCCTTCAGACATCCTTTACCCTCCTACCGCACATCCAACATCGAAGTGGCAAAGAAAAATATGTGCAAAGATTTATTGTCCGGAATGAAAGGTTTACTCTTGCCGTCGATTTCGTTTCCTTCTTCCTCGTTCATATTCTTTTTTGTACTTTCTTTTCAAACCCCGTTCATGTTCATAACTAACGCAATTTACGACCTCCATCCACCTCGAAGTCATAATAAAAATAATGCAGTTCAATATTTGACGAGATTCATTTCGTACTCTGCGCAATATTCGTTCCTTTTCAATATGTGTGAATGGATTTACTACGTTTTCATTTCGCGTTCTATTCTTCGGTGACCTGACAAAATTAATGCGTCACATTACAAGATTTATGATTAATTTCGAAGTTAGTCAGACGTACATTGAATGCACGTTGTCGTGGTTAGACCGTTACAAGTTAAATGTTCTGCATATGTGACATTTGCTGAACTATAGTCCAATAATGCGAAGAGCTTTGTTATAGATCAGCATTATATTCACACACCATTCAAATATCCCATTAGTAATAGTGTCGAAGTTTACACTATAACCAAATGTTCCATATTAATAAATTTTATTTTAAAATTTAATGGAATTTTCTTTCAAAATCAATTATTTATAAATATAAGAATAACATAAAATTATATAAATAAAGTATGAAATAAATAACCGCATGAAACATTGTAACAGTCAGTATTTCCAACCAAATTATTTATATGAATGAAATTATACAAATTTATTATTAAATATCGTTTCCTTTAATAACTCGAACTCATTGAAACCGGACTAATCAAAAATTAAACACATACAAAAAATAAACCGCACAAAACTGCATACAAAAATAATTTTATGTAATATTTTTTTTTAAATTTATTTATATTTTGTCCACTGAAATTTTAGTTTGTTTTGAAATTTTCAAACCTGATTATACTGAATCCGGACTGACCGAAGCAGGACCATGCGAGGTATTGCTGTACTACATTGCAATAAGTATAATTATCGTATTGAAGATAAATAGTAAATATTCAATCATAACTGGATTTGTTAATAAAGTAAAATTTAACACTAAAATATTGAGCAATGAGAAATTATGTTAGAAATTTTAGATAATTCAAGAAGGATTACAACTAATCTAGGTTAAAATATCGTTTACATATTGTAATTTACTTGATAATAATAATTCAAAGTAACAAAGATTGATGATTATAAGGCATTTGTCCATGTAAAGCTTTTCAAAGTTAGTTGCATAGATGGAAAAGCCAAGGGGCTTATATTGCACAACGTCTCTAATTCGTGGATAAAGACATTATTATTACCCCAAAAGCAACGGAATGTGAACATATAAAGTATATAAAGTTACGGCACTTAATTTGCATTATCAAAACAATAATAAGAAACTATTATAATTATTCTTAAGTTTATATAAACATAAAGCCATATTTTATTTAGTTAGATATCAAATAAAAATGAATATAACTGAAAATCTGCAATAGTGACAAAAAATGTTTTATTTAAGGAGAAAAACGATTTATAGCTATATATATTTTAATTATGTATTGATTTTTTATTCTTTAATAATTTTAACTAAAACGTGAAGACACTGATTTTCGAAAGCATAAAATTTATTTCTTCAAATTTTGAAGCTTATTGCAAAAATCATGAATACTTAAAATAAATACTAATACAGTGAAACGTCGCTTAATGAGTTTAATCCGTTCCAAAATTTCCGGATTTTTACTCGTATAGTGAAACATATTTAAAACTACACATAATATGTGCACAGAAGTTTTAAAAATGATTAAGCAGTCGCGCAATCCGGGACTTCTCTTCTCATCGTCAATCGTTATACGAAACGTTGCTCGTTAAGCGAGACAATTTTCTTACAATTCATTTTCCTCGTTAAGCGAAATCCTTGTTATTCGAGGTTCCACTGTATATTATTATCTGTTGATAATTCATATATTCATATTCAATATATATATATATTAAATTTATTAGGTTTTGATTAATTAAGTAGTTCAATAGTTCAAAAAGAAAACAAAAAAATGTGAAATACTTCAAAACAGAATATTTTAATTTTTAGTTTGAAAATCTACTTTTATACCTAAAAAGGTTTAAAAAAAAGTATATATATATACAATGGAACCTCTCTTAACGACCATTTCGCTTAACGAGCAAAATCAATTGTAAGAAAAATGACTCACAAAATGGAACGCATTATCAGTATTATTAGCATTATTAGTATATTATATGACTTTATATGGGAAAAATTGTTGGAACGGATTATGCTCGTTAAACGAGGTTCCACTATAGTTTGTTCATGTAACACACTAAAACAACCTAAGTGTATCAGAAATGGTTAAACCACACATTAGTATAAAATAAATAGATACAATTGAAAATATTTATATACAAATTATATGATTTTCATTGTGTAACAATTATTACCAAATATCCAATATTTGTGTCTACCATAATACGGTAATTAATTAATTATTAGGAAATAAAAGGTAAATATTATCTTTCGTTTAAATTACACAATAAACGTACGTGTTATTTTAGCAATATATTAATTTATATAAATTTATTAAAAATCGTATGAATTTACTTACGTATTAATATTTAGCACAATTTGCAGAATCCGCACCACGCAGCAAACCTGAAACATACAATAAAATGTAATTACGGCATGAAACATTTCTATTAGTTTTCAATTATATTACACATGGTAACTACGGAATGCAATCAATTATTAATTACAGTGCAATAATAATGTTTCACATTATATCGATTGTTATTTACTTTCTGTTGCAGTTTGCAGATCAATTCATTTTATTCTACACAATTACAAATTATGTATTCTTTCATTTCATATTTACGTAAAATTTAAATATATTCCAGTGGATTTTAATTAATTTTAACTTAATTTCATCAATAATACTTTAGAAATAGAGCAATACTTCGTATAGTAGTGAATACGTACACTATAGTTTGGTTAAAATATTTAAATTTTAATTGAACACAAAAAATAAATTAGTACACAAAATTATGTTTTTTTTTGTCTATACATCAAATCTCTTTTTGTCCTATTTATTTTTAAAGCCCTCAATTACTCCGGTTTCTAACAGTGTGAGATATTGGCAGAACCGATTACCCGCACTATATTACTGTACAATGAAATTTTTATATTATAAAATCAAAATTAATCGTGTATGTTTATATGTAATTTCAATTAATAATACATTTTTATTATATATTTTATTAAAGTTCATAGGATATTTCACTTCATGATTTGAAAAATAATTTTACATATATATTTTATATTTATATGGAAAATAAATTAAATTATATATCTTGTAGCAACATCTGATCACGTATCGATTATAAATTTGCTGTACATCGCGAAATAGGGGATGAAATCGACCTATCCATGAAATATAATCTCTTGTTAGTAAGATTTTGCAAGATTTGCCAGACACCTATTCAATATTAATATATGTAACAGCTATACGGGATTAAATTTTGCAGCAATATTTGATATACATATAAATTATATGTAAATATAGAAACGTTTACATTGTTCAATTAGAATTTGTATTAATATTTGTATTATACTGTTGTTATTGTTTCTGCATACGTAATCACTTTAATTAATTTAATTAATTGTAACTAATAGTCAAATAATAATATTTTAATATTTTTTTCTCAAACTAACTTTTTATGTTTACTAATCAAAATGCATGAAACATTGAAGCATATTTATTATATAAACTTAGTTTAGTAAGTACAACAGTTTGAAATATACAAAAATATATTTAGTAATACCTCTAATAACAAAGCTTCGATAAAACGAAGACCGCAAATTGAAGCCCTATTTAACATAAAACATATTCAGTCATCGTCCGACAATCATCCAATAAAATATTTGTTTAACGAAGTAATTTTGCAGACAGTATTCCTATTCTTTAATTAAAAAAAATTATTTCGTATAATTTTATTCACAATCCGTTCATCAATTTGAACATTGAATAAATTTAAGATCGTGGTTGGATAATCTTTCCCGGTGGTGGCTGTCGTCTTGTAGGTTAACTTCAGTAGTATATTGATGCTCTGCGATACCACTATTTCCTTTCACTATGAATCTGCTGCTATCCTTAACACTGTCATTGTCCATCGACTTGGCTGAAGGTCCATATGTTGAACCTCATTCATTTGACTGTTCATCTGTGATGAACGGTGGCACTATTGCTGCAAGCACCGAGAGGGCTCACAAAGGGCCTGGCAGGACCAGGATCCGAACCGGCACCCACGAAATTAACGAATTAACGAAATTAACCATTTGGCTATTAGTCTCCCCTTAATCAAAATATTTACTTTACTGCTGTATTAAATAAAATATTTCATTTTTTTAAATGAAAATTGTTTGAATCAACAATGTGATTCAAATAACGAGGAAAATACCACAATTTCATGGTATGAAAATGTAATAAGACGCCGCAGATAAATGAATTGGCTTAAGAATTTCGTAATTTGCGTTGTAACAAGATATTATTGTGTTATGGGAGAGACCTTTAACAGGGAAAAGCGAGAGGCGATGGGATATTAATAAGGCGTGCACCGGTTTTTGGAAAGACAATAAAAGGAAATTCATGCCCTAAATTGAAAATTTCCAACCCCCCGCATTCCAGCCCCCTCGGAGAGAGCTCATTATTAATCTGGGATTAAGGATGACATTCAAGTACATATTTGAATAAGACCATAATCCGAGCTGGCTAAAAACCAGCCGAGATGAAATGAAAGGAAAAACAGAATCATACAAAAAAAAGTGAACGAAACAGTTGTCGTGAAACCGCCGCTAAACAACTTTTAATGAATTAAACTTTCATTGAATCATGTGTTTTTTTTTGTGCATTCTCTAGTCGAGTCGCGTTAAGTTCGTAAAGTGTTATTATGTCAATTGCCTTGTTGAATATTTGAAATACTATTACCATGGACTAATTTTGCGAAATTTGCGGGCATGTAAGTCTATTTGAATTACAAATGACGGAAAAAACGACGGAAAACCGGAATAGGGAAAATTGAAGGGAGAAAAACTAAATGCCATACAACTGCAGTGGTTTTAGAGTTGTAATTCATGTTATATATATGGTGCAGCGTGTTAAATATTTTATCTGGGATTTTCTTGTAAAAACTTTTTTTTAAATTTCAGCCCGTAATTTCTTGTTAACTTTATGTGGACTAAACAATCTGTTAAAGTATTAAATATTTTATATTTAAGTTAAACTTAATATTTTCAGTTGAATTTTTAACTCTAATTGAAGCAAGATATTATTTTCCATATTCCCCAATGTATAAACTATTTATAAGAATAGAGAATAGTATAAAAATAAATAATGAGTTTTCTTACAGTAAATGTTAAAAAGGAGTTTTATTTCTAAAAAAAAATATGAACGCAATTATTTAAAATGTACTTAAAAATATTGCCAATAAACTCATGTATCTTTATTTATTGCAAAATATCCGTAGATCTACGAGATAATATGTATCCAGCGATAGAACCTCAAACTACAAGTTTGATTATTAATTACACTTAATAGCTAATATTATATGAGGATACAAAATAGTCATACTTCTATTAAGGAATAGCATGTGTTCATCAACGTTTTCTGTCGTTTTTGTTTTCAATTTTTTTGTATTCGATGCTAAAATGTTTATTAAAACTTATAATGAATTCGTGTTCTAAATTCAATAAATTTCTAAATTTGATTCATTTGAATTTTTGGCCATACTTTGAAGGTATAATTTCTGGCAATATTTAATATCAAACTCAATATAAGCATTTCCTAGTGACCTCTTTCCAATATCTGTTAATTTTTCCGAATAATTGCTTCATTTTATAGAAGAGAATAAATAGAGATTGTTTTTATTTTTTTTTTGTTAAGTTTATATATGGTAACACAACTATTGGAGTTTTAAATATTTTATTTTCAAGTTAAACTTTAATATTGGTAGTAAGGAAAATACCAGGAATATTTGCTGTTCGCTATTTGCTAGAGAATTCGGCAATATAAGTGTATGCAGTGACACAATAAGACACGAACTCACTGAAATGTACAAAGTTGGAAACAATTAGATTATATAATGGTGATCACCATCCGTCTTTCAGGACGTTGTTTTAAGAACAAGAATCGTTAGATAGAATACAAAATACCAACAAATAGACTTATGGTCCTTCTATAATCCAATAGATTTGTCGTAAACATTATTAGTAGACTTAAGCGTTGAAACACATCAAGAGGTGAGAAGATGAGACTTGGTTTATCCCCGTTGCATTAGTTTAGATTAAGCCCATAAATCGACAGGGAATTGTAGCGGAACAACAGCGAATTTATATTTCACTCTCTTTTCCAATTAGCTTGACTTAACAAGTGATGAATACTTCATCAGAGAGAGCCGTTCAATAATAGATGAGATGACGTCCTGTACTTCTGCAGGTCCAACACAATAGTCACGGACCCCAACGGCTATATGTAGCCTTTGTGCCGTCGAAAGTACGCGCCCTGAATTATTTAATATTATTAGAACAAAAGGGATGTGTCTATATGTATAATAAATGACCCAGAGTCTCCCTATAGAAAATCCATTTGCAGCGTCCTTAATTCCAGATGCAGAAACGCACCTTAAGTACACCGGAAATTTAGTTTTTGCTGTGCTTCCTCTTCATCGCAAATTCAATTACTTCTTGCAACATAAATAGCCTTCCGTCGGCAATTTATAGGCGGCAAATCTATTTACTTTAGATGCACAGCAAATTCTATTAACTGATTAGCCGCATCTTAAAACCCTTGAGTGAAGTGGTAACCAAATATGTCCTCAAAAATAATTCAATCATTAACCTATTTCAACACAGCATTTTCTCCACAACAAAACATCGAGAAAGTAAAGTATGAAAAGTGCTGTATTGATTTAGTGCATGGATGCTTTTCTAAGTGGCGTCGAAATGCTATTATAGAACATAATGGATTTTAGATTGTAAGCACATAAGGGAATATGTGTATGAGCAGGAAGATAAGATTGGAAATGTTGGATTCACTTGAACTCTTACTACAATAAAATGCATGTACAATGTAAAATGCATTGAATTTACGTTTATAGTATATCTAGATGAATGATTCATAGTAGGCACTTATTCTGAAGAAGAAAAGGTTATAACTTATTTAATGACTTTACATTTATGGAATATACAGTTTTACAACATCAAAGTTAACACTGGAGATAAAAACCGATTATAACTAATATTACCTGAATAGAAAATTCAATACACTTTTTTAAGTCGGAACAAATTAGGATCATATTCTAACATGAATTAGATGATTTTAAAAAAGATACGATGAAATTTGACCAACTTTAAGTAAAAACTTATAACAAATATTTATATTATGACTCTAATATATAATATCTAAAAAATCAAAATAATACATCAAATGCCTCGGTTTAAGAACATAAAATGTACGGAAAGTATTATGTTCGGTATCCAAGAAATTCTGATTTCGAGCACTGTACTAATTTATACTTAAATATAGATTATGTATTTAAATAGAAGCAAACATATTAATTGTGTGAAATAAATACTCTTAATTTCAACCAAAATATTTAATA